TTACATATACGAGGGTAGTCCCAGAAGTACCTGACCTGACGTATAGATGGCGATTGTTGTTTGAAAAAAATCACTATGGCCGAAAGCAACAACCCTATAAAGCTGAAGTTTGAAGTTTCAAGACGCTACGTTGTTTAGTATTAGTTTGGCAGCCATCAATAGTGAACGCTCTCAGTACATTTGTAAACATGGAGAAAATTGGTTATCGTGATACAATATTTTCATTTGAAAGTTCTCAGTCCAACCAATATCAAAACTGAGCTAGATTCTACTCTGGGGGAGTCTGCTCCCTCGTTTACAACAATAAAATATTGGGTGGCAGAGTTTAAAAGAGGCCGTAAGAGCTGCCAAGACGAACATCGCAGTGGTCGACCAAATAAGGTGACCACGCCAGAAATGGTGACGAAAATCCACAAAATAGTATTGGATGACCGTCGACTGAAAGTGCGCGAGTTAGCTGACATGGTAGGCATATCAAAAAGTGCTGTACATCGCATATTGACTGAAAATTTGGACATGAAAAAGCTGTGCGCACGATGGATGTCGCGTTTTTGCTTACAGTTGAACAAAAACAGCGTCGTGAGGATGTTTTAATCGAGTGTTTGGCGATGTTTCGCAGTAATAAGGCCGAGTTTTTGCGTCGATTCATAACTTTGGATGAAACATGGCTTCATCATTTCACACCTGAGACGAAAGAACAGTTGGAACAGTTGAAATAATGGACTGAAAGGGGAGAATCGGCTCCGAAAAAGGCGAAAACAACTCCATCGGCTGGAAAATTATTTGTTAAATTTTAAAAAATATATAATAAATACAAAGAAATATTTTTTTAAATTTATAAAATAAGCTGTAAAATTATGAATTTATAAATAAAAAAAAGTGATTTCTTTGGTTTAAAAAAAATATATATATATTGTGACGTGACGATTAGTAAATATCGTCCGTCACTCGTCGACTATAGTAAGGAAGCATTATGCGCTTCCCGGCTGCAGGCGGATGTCGCGTCCTAGCCGTAAGGCGATTAGGACGCGAGCCTACGCAGCCCTCAAATTATATATTTTGTGAATAAATACGGTCATCAAGGTTGAGTCAGGAAGAAGAAGCCACCAGCAAGGAGGACTGCTGTCGCCGTGGGAGAAGGAAAGCCTGCGAGAAGAACGGCCGCAAGACTAGCTACTCCAGGTGAACCGCTTCCATTAATAATACGACTCAGTAGGGACCCACAGGGTGGGAAAACCTAACACAGAACTGTTTTCAGCAACATCCTGAACGGCGAGGCGAAGCTGCCGAAGGGGAGCGATCACGAGCTGTCGCTAGGAAGCCGCGAGGACGGAGTGGATCGACACCGCGGACGAGCGGAGGATAGCTGCCGCCGGAGGAAATCGGCGAGCACATCCTCCGCGACCCGGAGCGTCCTCCGATCCGAGCGAGGACGCCGCGAAGCTCGTGGATCAACGCAAACAACGGCTGCCGCAAAGGAGCTAAAGACAAGGTCAGATGGACAAGGAAGCTCCAAAGCTTGACATAATGAAAACAGCTGTGCAAATCTGAGATCGGAAAACGGGGGAAAGATTCCGCCAATGAGCAATCAAGAGCTGTCGGAAGCGAGTTCAAAAACCTCAGATAAAACGGGAAGACAACGACCGTTCGAGAGCTTTCGTCACC